CCCTGTCACGGAATCGACGACATGATGCTCATTCGGGAAGCTGCCGTGCTCAAAGCTTTTCACCCACTTCATGGTGGCTGATTTGTGAAGAGCTGTAACTTCATTACTCAAGGGCTTTCTGTCCACAGTGCAAAAACCATTTGCATATCAATCCTTCAAATCTCTCGGAAGGTTTGGCGAATGTCATGTCAGACTTCTATAGAACGAACTCATAAGCGGGAAAGGGAATAGGTAAGAATAAAGTACTATAAATGTTGGTATAAAAACAAACTTTTAAAAATTAAGAGGGGAACAAAACAAAGAAGTAGGTAAGAACAGGTACTAGGTAAGAACTCCGATTCTACCCTTGTTGTCGCCATTCCGGAAGAGTCATTTCAACCGAACGGCCATTATTTCTGAGTTCTAGCTGTGTTATTGCTATAGATGGGGCACGTAGGCGATAATAATGCCTATCATTAAAAGCCCTTCACAGACAGTTTCTCGTTCCTTTTTCTTTTATTCTCGATGTCCCCATTCTGGAAAAGCCATTTCAAGGAAATAGTTATTGTTCCCGAGGGTTGGCTTGTGTAATTGCTATAGACGAAACACGTAGACGATAATAATGCCTATCATTAAAAGTTCCAAAGGACAGTTTCTTGCTTTCCTCAGTCTGCTCCTTTTCGGAAGCCTGTAATTAGCCCACGTACTGTAGTGCAACGCACTTCAATGCTAGCTACGAAGAACATCACCATAGGAAAGGGACCTAATGACACACATGGTAAAGTTACAGACAAATTGTAATAATGAATAGTGGTATGGGAGTCCACCATATGCATGGTTGAGAAGTAACGGCTTAGAGTCGATCCTGCATTCAAGCAGAAATTAAGGTCTGTTGGTCGAACCAGAGCTAGGCCCAAGATTAGCCTATTTTGTATGAGTAACCAATTCAGCTCCAAAGTACACGCCAATGCTCCTGTACGGGGAGGGTTGCTGAAGTTATCCAACTGATAAGTTAGAGTTTATCCCTTCTCATATTTCGTAGTGGAATATTTTGCAAAAAGGGCTATTTGGTTGGAATTACGTGAAAGAACTTCCGGCGCAGTTCATTAGCAAGTAATCAAAACCTTGTTGTAATATAATATGTGTGCATATATGTAAATAAACAAGTAAATAAATTAACAAATATATCAAGTCTCAGCATGCCATTTCATAGAGAAAACCTTCTTTACACATGACCTTTACTTGGAATAAATTCGGTTTACCAC